CAAAATGAACATGCTTTTGTAAATACCATCCAGTCTAACAAATAGAACAAGTTCTCCAATCCCCACTTATCTTACTTCTCCATCACTACCCTCTCTGTCTCCATAAAGGCATACAAAGCTCCTCAGGTTACACTGATGGGCTGTAACATTGTCTTACTGTTTACTATTGCATTTTTCTTTGTTTTTTAACCTCATGGACCTGTTTTTAATGGGAAAAAGGAAGTGAACAAAAACTTTTAGACAGGAGGATTGCTAGTCTCTCTGACATAATGATATTAATAGTAACAACTAACATTTTGAGTGTTACATGTCCATTACATTGTGGTAAGAAATTTTCAAGCCACTATTCACTGTTCAAATGAATATTCATTGTTCAAAGAATTTAGGTTTAGTTTTCTAAATCTAATTATAATTCTCTTAAGACCCCACACCATCTGATGCCAGAAAATATATTCTTTCTATTCAGTTTCAACAGAAACTATTAAGCAATAGATAGCAACTTTTCTCGTATTCCAAACTGAAGTGAGTCCCTCATGCCAAGGGAAGAAAACTTACTGCATTGGGAAGCCTAAGGCTGTTAGTGCAAACTGTAGAATTGTCTCTATTGGACCACTAGTGGGTGCTACAAACAGGCCCAAGTGAGAGAGCTAGCCTGCTGCTTATTTTCAATGCTGCCCAAAGAACAAACTGTCTGAAGAGAGGAGTTAACTCCAACAGTATGGAGGGCTGCCAGAGTCCAAGGGGCTTAGGAGACATTAGAAGCCATCCCAAGAGATGCTTTGCTAGTGACTACAAAAATGATAAGGATTCAGGGGATAAAAGCACATTGCCTAATATTTCAAATTATCATTCCATTACCATGATCTCATTAAATAATCAGAAAAAAAACACCTATACAATAAGTATTATTATTATTATTCCTCTGTTCTTGTATGTGGTCAAGTTGATTCCTAATCATAGTGACCCTAAAGGACAGAGTAGAACTACCCCCTAGGGTTTCCTGGGCTATAATCTTTATGGGAGAAGATCATTAGGTCTTATCTTCCTCAGAGTGGATGGTGGGTTCAAATCAGCAGCAAGTGTTTAACCATTGCACCACCTGGGATCCTTAGAGATGGAGAAACTGAGGCTTAAAGAGGTAAAGTAACTCGTTCCAGGGGACCATGGTTAGGAAATGAAAGAGGAGACCTCAAAGCCAAGGCTTTCTCCCACTGGAGCCCATTCTTTTAACATAGTATACTTTACCCTCTGTGAATCCCTATTGTGGAGTCCTCAGTGGTGCAAACAGTTAATGCACTTGGTTGCTAACTGACAGGTTGGAGGTAAGAGTTCACCCAGAGGCACCTTGGTAGAAAGACTGGCAATCTACCAAAAAATTAAAACACTGAAAACCTTATGGGATACAGTTATACTCTGCTACCCATGGGGTCAAAGTCAACTGGAGGACATCTATTTACTCGTTAATCCGTATTGTGACTGTAAAAGGAGACGATGTATTGGTCTTTTTCTAATAAAGATTATTCTTTTTTCTTTCTGGGTGGGTGGAGGGGCAAAATAACCAAATTAACTCAAACAACTTTTTATCTACTTCTTTAGCATTTCTCCCCTGAAAATGTTGCTTTAGAAATGGCTGAAGCATGTTATAACCTGGCCTCTGCTAAAACCTTACTTTTAATTTTTAAAGACCCAAGTCAGTTACTCTTCTGAATATGAAAATAATAAGACAGTTACAAAAAACAAAAGTTCTGTCATGGTTTCCTTTTTAAGAAGTAACAGTTCTTATCTACAAAGGAATTCTGTGCTCTGAAAGTATGCTTTAAGAGTTTTGAAGCACTGAAAATAACAAATGCTGGCGAGGTTGTGGAGAGATTGGGACTCTCATACACTGCTGGTGGGACTGTAAAATGGTACAACCATTGTGGAAAGCAGTATGGCGATTCCTTCAAAAGTTGGAAATACAAATACCATTTGACCCAGCCATCCCATTACTAGGTATATACCCTAAAGAAGTGAGAGCCATAACAAGAACAGATATATGCACACCGATGTTCATCGCAGCACTATTTACAATAGCCAAAACTTGGAAACAACCTAGATGTCCAACAACTGAGGAATGGATAACCAAACTTTGGTACATTCACACAATGGAATACTATGCAACGCTAAAGAATAATGTAGAATCTGCAAAACACCGCATAACGTGGATGAACTTGGAGGACATTATGCTGAGCGAAATAAGTCAGTCACAAAAAGACAAATATTGTATTAGTCTGTTATTGTGAAAGTTAAGGAAATGTTTATATATTGGAGGACATTTTCTTTGTTGGTTACCAGGGGTGGGAGGGAAGGGGAGGGAATGCTGTTAGATAGATAGAGATAAATATTGATTTGGGTGAAGAGAAGGGCAATGTACCAAATGTGAGTGACCAATATGGCAGCATTGAGGATGAGAAAGACAGAGAGAGTTACATGGGCAGTACAAACAACAAATATGAACCCCTTTGTAAATACAATACTGAGTTGTCAATGAAAGCAAACATGGGTATAGGGACGGATAGATGGGTGAACAAGCTAAACAATTATGTATGTCTAAATGGAGAGTGTATCCAAGATCATATACAGGGTTGGCAGACAATGGGCCTCTCGAAGAGTATGAAGGGATGGACACTGGGAGGAGGTAACTATGGGGAGGAAGTGGGAGGGGAGCTGCTGCATTGTAAATTTTGGTCAATGACATGAGACAAAGTATATGTGAACTGCTGTATGAAAAGTGAATTTACTCTGTAAATCTTCACCCAAATCCTAATAAAAAAAAAAAAAAAAGAGTTTTGAAGCACAAAGAAAATTGATTTGATGCCTAAATTCTCATGAAATTTAGCTAAAACCTACAGCTGTACATTATTTCTAGGCCACTGTCAATATTGGAATAGATCTTTCTCCTCCCTCCATTTGGCAGAAATTTTAAAGAGGAAAAAACATTTGTGTTTAAGTGTATTGAAGTAAGTCTTATTTTAATTTTTTTCATATTTTATCAATTTGAAGTTTATACTTTCCTTCTAAATATGATCCAATTTTACATTCCATTATTATTTTTTTAATTTTAAAATGTAATATTTTTAGGATTATACACTATACTAATCTCTAACCCCCACCCCCTGTATCACATCCTTTTTTGAGGGTGGGGGGTAGGTCCTTGTCACTTTCCTGCCTTAGTCCAGCAGCAAATGGACTAAGGCTAAGTGAGACCTGTAGGTCATCACCCCCTGCCTTTTTGCGGGGACATACAAATTATGTAAGCCAGTTGCTAACCTGTTTTTTTTTTTTTTTTTAAATCTTCAATCAGGGGGTTTCTCCACGTTTTTTTTTTTTTTTTGTGAACTGTTGTACTGACTTTCTGTCCACTGTATCTTTCCTTATCTATGTGCACTCTTATCTCACTGTTCTATTTTTTCCCCTCATTCTTACCTTTTTATCAACTTCTAGGCCTTCCTTATCTGCTCGGAATTTATGGGAGACGAATGTTACTCCATAAACGGCAAAGATAATAATGTGAGTAGTGGGAACCCTGGGGAGGATAGAGAGAGGGGCGATGCCATTTCTCATCTCACAATGTGTTTATTTGGCTGCTGCCATTCCACCAAGTTAAGCAAACACTCCTGATCCTTTTAACTCTGTGAAGCTGACATTTCTAAGTATGTTTGCAAACAGGACACTAGAGGGCTCCCAGGGGTTAAAAATAACTAGAAAGTTATTTGAATGAAAACTGATTCTGGACGGCACTTTTTTTTTGTACCGGAATTTAAAATTGAAGTTTATGTGTTAAACTACTAAGAAAGGTATACGGTTAATAACTGAGTTATCAGGAGCCAGTTTATAAGAACTCTTTTTCTTTGCAATTAGTAGTTTTCAAGGAGGTTTTAAAGCTGCACTGAAATGCTTGAGATGAGGAACACTCTTGACCATGAAGTATGTTCTACTTACATGCCTCAGCCTTTAAAAGTTCTTTGAATTAGAATGAGGGAATGCATTCTTCCTGGAGCCACGCATGGGGCCAGCTGTGTAAGTAAGGTTGTTTATGAGTTTCTTCTTCTTTTTAAATAATGTGAAAAAACAGAGCTAGACATCATTTTATTTTCTTTCTGTTGACTTTGTTGGAAAGAAAAGGAATTTTTAAAAAAATGCAATGTGTGTGTGTGTGTGAGTGTGTGTTTGAATAAATGTAACTGCTTCCACAATCTATGGGCATTTATGGCTTTACATTATACTAAATCTTAATGTAAGGTAATGGAACATATTTTGAAGAAAAAATTGTACCATTAGGTTAAGAGAATATGCTTCTGATTTTGGATGCTAATACTTGGTACGTATGACCCATTAGTTAATGCAGGACTTTTAAAAAATAAATCTGAGATAGTTATAGATTTTTTAAAAATAGATCTATTACATACTTGTATGTTATTTCTGAATTTAAAAAGTAAAAACTCAGGATATTAAATTTTAGTGCTTTTCCTTCAGAACCTAATTATATGACTATAGCTACAAGTTAGAAATATTCTTGGGTTTTGTGGTTTGTGGTTTCTTTTCACTACTTAGAATTGAATATCAACTCTGTGCATCTATATGCATAGATTTCTTTCTTTTTTTTTTTTTTTAACATTTAGTGCTGATATTTATGAAAGGAAAGGGTTACTTTTCTCTTTACTTTTGTAAAGGATCTGGGGTGATTTGAGACTGTGACTCAGTTAACTCTGTTTCCATTCATTACTAGGAACAAGCTGCACTCCTCCATAGGGAGGCTGACACGATATTAAAAAGTTTGTCGTGACAAGTGATAGAAACATTTTCAACTCCATCACCAACCCTTTACTTCCTGCACTACCCACTGGAGACCACTAGACACAAAGCAGACACGACAGCTTAAGTCAGGAAACCATGCATCATATCAACAGGAGTCAACTACAGGCTTTAAACTCTGTTCAACATGTGGATTCCGTGGAGAAATGACCTGCCCAGACAAGCCAGGGCAACTCATAAACTGGTTCATCTGCTCCCTGTGCACCCCATGGATGCGGAAACTCTGGAGCAGCCGGCGTCCAAGGACTCGGAGGAACCTCCTGCTGGGCACTGCCTGCGCCATCTATCTGGGTTTCCTGGTGAGCCAGGTGGGGCGCACCTCTCCCCAGCACAGACGGGCACCAGAGCAGAGGCAGCACCAGAATCGCGATGCTGCCGATGCACCTTTCCCAGAGATACCCCTGGATGGTACCCTGGCTCCTCCTGAATCCCAAGGCAATGGGACAACCCTGCAACCCAATGTAGTGTACATTACCCTACGCTCCAAGCGCAGCAAGCCTGCCAATATCCGTGGCACAGTGAAGCCAAAACGCAGGAAGAAATATGCAGTGGCATCTCTGGCCCTGGAAGGTTTGAACAGACTCTCCCTTCAGCCACAGGAAGCTGCAAGGGTAGCAGGTGCTGAAGTGCCTGGACATGCCCAGGGAGGAAACCTGGACAAAATTGGAGAGCGATCCTGGAGGTTAGTGAGGGGTCCCGGAGTGCGAGCTGGGGGCCCAGGCTTCCTGCTGCCCAAGACCAGAGAGAGCAACATCAGGATCTACAGCCAGAGCTCCCCCTCATGGCTGAGCAAAGAAGACATCCACAGAATGCGCCTGTTGGCCGATAGTGCAGTAGCAGGCCTCCAACCTGTATCCTCTAAGAGTGATGTGCATTTGCTGGTGCTAGAGAGGAGCGCTGCAGGTTCTGTGCCCCGCTGTGGCCCTAGTCCCTGTGGGCTGCTCAAGCAGCCTTTAGACATGAGTGAGGTGTTTGCCTTTCACCTGGATAGAATCCTGGGGCTCAACAGGACCCTGCCATCAGTAAGCAGGAAATCAGAGTTCATCCAAGGTAACAGATTCCCACACTTTGTTAATTGCAGCTGTTGGAGATTTGGGTTGATTTTCTCTTTTCCTTCACTCTTTTTCTGAACCATTTTCTCCACCCATGTTTCACATTTGGACAGCAGCAGCATGTCTTTCCATATACTTGGCATTTATTATTTTCCTAGCTTTGGGAGGATATGAGAGTTCCAGAGAAATGCTGTACTCGACATGCAAGAGTAAGCCTACACTGTGTAGTCTTTGCTCCCTGTTTCCCTCACTACACTTCCCAGGGGCTTATTAAATCTAATTAAAGCCAATGACAATTTACATGAATAGGAGAGGAAAGCCAAGGTGGAGGCAAAGAACTTGCTGACAATCAGGTATATTATAATGGGATATGTTACTATGGCAGAAAGTAGAATTTTGTTCTTTGGGAGTTTTTAAAAGTAAGTCAGACCATGTTAGGTTTGGTTCAATTCCATTTTACAATGTTTGTTGTTGTTGTTAGTTTCCAGCTGCCATCAAGTCTATTCCAATTCATGGTGACTGTACATGTGCAGAGTAGAATTGCTCTACACGGTTTCCAGGCTGTGGTCTTTCAGAAGCAGATTGCCAGGCCTGTCTTCCAAGGCACCTCTGGAGGGGTTTGAAATGCCAACCTTTTGGTTAAGTCAAGTACTGAACTGTGTGTGCCACCCAAGGATTCCTTTACAAAATTTAACCCCTTTATTTTACAAATAAACACAATGAGGTAAATTTAGGTTATTTGTTCAGGATATATACTAAATAACCATGTGGCTGACTATGGTTTATTGAACCTTATTTCCAAGATTCTCTGTTCTTGGGTGATAAAATGCAGCTTTTAGGGTATGTAGCTAATCCCTGCAGTTGAAGACAAGAGGGCTGGCAAGAAGGCTGGCCTGTGACCATGCCCAGACCATGTTCTCTGATCTTCAGGCTGTTTGAGGGTTTGGATACACAGTTATTGTTGTTAGGTACTGTTGAGTTGGCTCCAACTCATAGAGACCCTAGGTACAACAGAACGAAACACTACACCTTAGTCGTCAAAGTGATATCTTTGCTCTCTAACACTTTAATGAGGTCTTCTGTAGTAGGTTTGCCCAGTGTAATATATCATCTGATTTCTTAACTGCTGCTTCCATAGATGCTGATTATGGATCCAAGTAAAATGGAGTATCTGACAACTTCAATCTTTTCTCAATATATCATGATGGAGGCTGGCAAATCCCAAATCTGGGATCAGACCTCAAGGTTGAGGCTTGTCCTGACTCATGTGGTTGTAGGGGCTGACAAATCCAAAACTGGCAGGTCAGCAGGCTGCTAGCTCACAGCCCCAGAACTGGAGGTCAGAAGATGATGAATCAGATTCTGGATCCAGGGAGGGTGAGATTTGCCAGAATATCCATATATATTGGATGCAGGCCACACCCCTAAGGAAATTCCCCTTTCAAGTGGTTGGCTGTTCATGGCTGTTCATCACAAAGTGAAGGATGATTACATAATATCTTCCAAATTGCTGAGAATCATGGCTTAACCAAGTCAATGAATGTTGTTGTGAGGTGTTTTCAAGTCATTTCTGACTCATAGTGACCTGAGTACAACAGGAAAAAAAACAGTGCCCAATACTGTACCTCTTCACAGTCCATTGTTGCAGCCACTGTATGTTCCTCTTTTTCACTGACCCTCTACTTTCCCAAGCATGATGTCATTCTCCAGGGAATGGTCCCTCCTGACAACATGTCCAAAGAATGTGAGACAAAGTCTCACCATCCTCGTTTCCAAGGAGCGTTCGTTCTAACTGTACTTCTTCAAAAACAGATTTGTTGATTCTTCTGGTAGCCCATGGCATATCCAATATAGTTTGCCAAAACCGCAATTCAAATGCATCAATTCTTCTTTGGTCTTCCTTATTCATTGTCTAGCTATTGCATGCATGTAAGGTGATTAAAAATGTCATGGGTTAGGTCAGGCGCAACTTAGTCCTCCAAGTAACATCTTTGCTTTTTAATAAAGAGGTCTTTTGTAGCAAATGTGCTGAATGCAATACCATTTGATTTCTTGACTGTCTCTTCCATGGACACTGATTGTGGATCCAAGTAAAATGAAGTCCTTGACAACTTCAATTTTTTCTCTGTTTATCATGATGTTGCTAATTGGTCCAGTTGTGAGGAGTTTTGTTTCCTTTATTTTGAGGTATAATCTATACCAAAGGCTGTTGTCTTTGAGTAAGTGCTTCAAGTCCTCTTTGCTTTCACCAAGCAAGGTAATGTCATCTGCATATTGCAGGTTGTTAATGAGTCTTCTTCCAATTCTGATGCTGTGTTTTTCTTCATATAGTCCAGCTTCTCGGATTATTTACTCAACATACAGATGAGTAAGTATGGTGAAATAATACAAACCTGATGTGTACTTTTCCTGATTTTAAATGATGCAATATCCCTTTGTTCTGTTTGAATGACTGCCTCTTGATCCATGCCCAGTTTCTGCATGAACACAATTAATTGTTCTGGAATCCCCATTCTTTGCAGTGTTATCCATGTCTTTCACCCTCACTTGCGATTATTATTTCCTTTTAGTAGATGAGAAAATTGAAGCTTATTCAGGCAAAATAATTGGCCTCATCTTTAACAGCTAGTAAAAGTCTGTGTTAGGTTTCAAATGCAGGCCTAGAAAACTTCAGAACCCAAGCTCTTAACCACTGGACTCAGGTGGCCATATAACTTATTTGATCTAGAGCACTCTAGAGTAAAAAGATGTGTGGATGGGCATTGAGAAAACAGTCATATATTAAAGCTTTACTGGGAAAAGTGGAGTATATACCCTTATTATGCTATAATATTGTTTATTTTCATGTCATAAAGACTCCAGAAAAGAAAAGGTGCACTCTGGAATATATCCTGATATGTTCTCTGAGCTTCTCTAGGATGCTCTTTTTACTCAAGTAGGGAGAATAATGTAGTGATTAGGTGATTGGGCACTGTAACTGGATTGCCTGGGTTTGAGTTTTCCAACTGTTATACCTGAATATATTATAATAGCTCTCTTTACTTCAGTTTCCTCAATAGTAAAATAATAACTACCCTGTGAGATTGTTGTTAGCTCTACATATAAAGAGCAGTTAGAGTCAGTGCTAAGCACTCAATATATAGGTCATTATTACCACACTAAATACATAAGGTTCTAAGTTCATTGATGTACTCAATGAAAATCTCCAATGCCTGTATTTGCAATTGTGTAATGTAAGTTCACATTTACGCACCAACCACCAAGGCCAAAGATAAAAAAACTGGAAAATTTTTACCAACTTCTGCAGCCTGAAATTGATCAAACATGCAAACAAAATTTATTGATAATTAGTGGTGATTGAAATGTGAAATTTGGAAGCAAAGAAGGATCAATAGTTGGAAAATATGACTTTGATAGAAACAACACAGGAGATTGCATGATAGAATTTTGTAAGACCAATAACTTATTCATTGCAAGTGCCTAAGGCATTTGACTGCTAACCAGAAGCCTGGCAGTTCAAACCCACCACCCACTCCTTGGAAGCAAGGTTGGGCAATCTAGTTCCGTAGTGATACCACCTTGGAAACCCAAGGAGGGGTCGCTATGAGTCGGGTCTGACTCGAGGGCAGTGATTTTGGTTTTGCATTTATACACATGGAACTCACCAGATGGAATACATAGGGATCAAATCTACTACTTTGTCATTAATCAGAACAAGGCCAGGGATTTACTGTGAATCAGACCATCACTTGCTCATATATAAATTCAACTTGAAGCTGAAGAAAATGAAAACAAGTCCATGAGAGCCAAAATATGACCTTGAGTATATTCCACCTGAATTTAGAGACCTTCTCCAGAATAGATTTGATGCATCAAACACTAATGACCAGATATCAGACAAGTTGTGGGATGACATCAAGGACATCATACATTAATAAAGCGAAAGATCAATGAAAAGAGGAAGAATAAATAAAAGACCAAAGTGGATATGAGAAGAGACTCTGAAACTTGCTTTTGAAAGTAGAGTAGCTAAAGTGAATTGAAGAAATGATGAAGTGAAAGAGCTGAACAGAAAATTTCAAAGGACAACTTAAAGAGACAAAGTAAAGTGTTAAAATGAAACTTACAAAGACTCAGCGTTACAAATTTAAAAGGGAACTACATTCTGGGCATTGCTCAAGGTGAAAGAACTGAAGAAAAACTTCAATCCTTAAGTTGCAAGACTCCAGGAATTGATGGGATATAAATTGAAATATTTCAAGAAATAGTTGCAGTGCAGGAGGTTATCATTCATTTATGCCAATAAATTTGAAAGACAGCTACCTGGCCAACTGACTATATTTGTGCCCATTCCAAAGACAGGTGATCCAAAAAATGTGGAAATTATAAAATAATATTACTATCACTTGTTGTTGTTATGTGCCATCAAGTTGGCACAAGTAAAATTTTGCTGAAAGTAAGTAAAAAATGATTGTAGCAGTACCTCTATAGGTAATTGCCAGAAAATGAAGTCAGATTCAGAAGAAGGTGTAGAACAAAGGATATCATTACTGATATCAGATGGATCTTGGCTGACAGCAAAGAATACCAGAAAGATGTTTACCTGTGTTTTCTTGACCATGCAAAGGTATTTGACTGTGTGGATCATAACAAATTATGGATAACATTGCAAAGAACGGGAATTCCAGAACAGTTAATTGTGCTGTGAAATCTATATGTAGTCCAAGAAGCAGTCATTTGACAAGCACAAGGGAATACTGGGTGGTTTAAAATCAGGAAAGGTGTACATCAGGTTGTATCCTTTCACCCTACTTATTTAATAAATTTGCTGAGCAAATTATCTGAGGAGCTGGACTGTATGAAGAAGGACATGACATCAAGATTGGAGGAAGACTTATTAGCAACCTGAGATTTGCAGGTAACACACTCTTATTTGGTGAAAATGAGGAGTACTTGAAGCACTTACTGATGAAAACAGCCTTCAGTAAGGATTATACC